TATAGATATAGATAGATATAGATAGATAGATAGATAGATAGATAGATAGAGATAGAGATAGAGAGATAGAGAGATAGATAGATAGAGATAGATAGAGATAGATAGATAGATAGATAGATAGATAGATAGATAGATAGATAGATAGATAAGATAGATTAGATAGATAGAGAGATGAATACAAAGTAGATAACAGTCATATAAAGAGAATGTCTGAGGATAGACTTGTAAAACAAATATATGAGGGAAGAAAGAACGAATGGATCAAGAAGAAAAGGAAGGGACTAACAGATAGGTTAACAGATTAACAGAGTTGAAGGGACTTTGTAGGCCATCTAGTCCACACACACACACACCCCAAGCAGGATGCCCTACACTATTTCTGACAGATGGCTGTCCAGTCTCTTCTTGAAAGCTTCCAGTGCTGAAGCTCCCACAACATCTGAAGGCAACTTCTGTTCCATTGGCTGGTTGTTCTCACTATAGAAAATTCCTCCTCATTTCTAGGTGGAATCTCTCCTTGATCAGTTTCCATCCATTATTCCTTGTCTGGCCTTCAGGTGCCTTGGAAAATAGCTTGACCCCCTTCCTCTCTGTGGCAGCCCCTCTAATATTGGAACACTGCTATCATGTCTCCCCTGGTCCTTTTCTTCACTAGATTAGCCACGCCCAGTTCCTGCAACCATTCAAACCTGCAACCAACTAAAAAAGTTGAGTTTGAATGGAGTTGCCAAGATCTTGAAAACAGGGAATGGTGAGGTTTAAAGAACAAAAGGCCAAATTGTGAAGAAACAGTGCATGCATCTAGTGGAAACAACAATGGTTTGCAAGGAGGGCAAAATCTGAAGTATAGCAAATGGAAGTGTAAGGGACGTAGTGGCTCGGTGGCTAAGACGCTGAGCTTATCAATCAGAAAGGTCGGCAGTTCGGCAGTTCGAATCCCTAGCGCTGCGTAACGGAGTGATCTCCCGTTACTTGTTCCAGCTTCTGCCAACCTAGCAGTTGAAAAGCACGTAAAAATGCAAGTAGAAAAATAAGGACCACCTTTGGTGGGAAGGTAACAGCGTTCTGTGCTCCTTCGGCGTTTAGTCATACCGGCCACATGACCACAGAGATGTCTTCGGAGAGCGCTGGCTCTTTGGCTTTGAAACCGAGATGAGCACTGCCCCCTAGAGTCGAGAACGACTAGCACATATGTGCAAGGGGAACCTTTACCTTCACNCACGAGGGGGTCGCTTGAATGTGGGGGGGGATCCCATGGACATCCGCGGGGGCTGGGACACACACCGGGGCTCCTGTGCGCGTGCATGGGGGCACATGGGGGTGGGTGGGCGTGCATTGCATTATGAGTGTGGGCACACGCCATGCTCTGTCGCACATGCACACTTTAAGCACACGACAATAAAAAAGTTATCCATCACTGCTATATTCTGTTCTCTATAAAAGGGTTTGCTTCGGACCGTTGCCAGGAATCAACTCGGAAAGCTGCTTTTTGCACATTTATAATGTACCGCGTTGCGTGTAAGAAAGCGCAAAATGTTTCCTGACCTACAAAACTTAAGAAAAATGTGGCCATTTAGAAACCGGTCCCCTGCATCCAAGATGCTCCCCTGCTGGGGTTCTTACTTCTAGATTGCTGGCTTGTATAATGATTGGTGGAGTGGGTTCCTGGCGGGATGTCCTCTAAGTTGGCATTGAAGGCAGGATTGATTAGCCCAGGTTCGTCTGTCATTAAGGCAATTGTGGCGGCAGCTGAGAACTCCGATCCCAGAGCAGATACTGTTAAAGCAGCATTCAGATCAGCAGATCCAGCTGGGGAGCATCTCTTTCTCTCCTTGGTGAAGCCATAATGAGACGCTCCTTTGCACCTAAGGAAAATTAAAGACGACAGAACTTAAAACACAAATTGCTAAAATGAATGGAAACAGGTAACTCCTTCCAGAAAGTCAAATTTTTTTTGGTGGGGGGGAGAAATGATACTGAGTTAGTTTCCCATTTGTAGTTCTTGGCACCATCCCCGAACTACTAGCTGATAACCCGGCTTTGCCCGGTTATTTATTTATAGGGGGAAAATTTCCAGACCAAACGTAATTTCCAATGTTGGATTTTCTCCCTTACTAGAGGGAGCCCCCCTGTGGAGTACTGTGAAACCTACCATGGCAACTCCACTGCGCTGTACAGTAGAAGCCACTTAAAGGCACAACAGGCTGCATCTTAACAGAACACCTCACGGGGGTTGTTAGGGGTGTCTTACCCCCATAGTATTTATCTCCAGAGAACAAGTCATCTGTATACCAAGTTTGGTTGAAATTGCTCAAGGCATTCCAGAGTTATGCTGGAACATACACACATAAGCATATATATATATATATATATATATATATATATATATAGATAGATAGATAGATAGATAGATAGATAGATAGATAGA